TTTCAGTCTTTTAAGGAACAAACTGACCACTTGTACTTCTGTTCCTCATCAAGTTTGCAAGGTACTATTTATAGGTGATACACAGAGAGTAGCCACTTAAATTTGATTCCAAGTTATTTGTCTTCATTACCCAACCTGTGTGTGGCTCTGTGCAATTTATTGTTAAGCAGCAAATTAGATCSATACATCTACACTGAATTTTATCACAGAAAACAATTAAAAGTCTAAGTATTGGATACTTGGTTGTTTTAGATAGCTAGAATTTCAGTTTTTAAAACATCATTGTGCAGTATGGTCATTCTGTTCTACAAATTTCATGGTCATAATTACCTCTCCTGTGAATCTACTTACTGTGAATTGACAGTTTGCACTTCTGCTTCCATCATTTGGTTCTTTTCTGCCTTTAAATGTATGTTGGCTGTCATAGCATGCATGCTTTTACTTACCTAGTCTGCCTAGTTTAGGTTTTCATATAAAAGTAGGATATTAGTTACAAGTGAATTACAGGATTATGGAGGCAAGCCCTTCAATGCTTAAGAAATACCAATTTAAAGAGTGACAGATTGTTTTGCCTCCAGTTTCTCTTCTGCCTTAGAAACCTGTCTGACATTTTGYAGAAGTTAAGCTCTCTAGTTTCAGTTTCTTATATGATGGTTTTGCTTCTTATCATCAGTGATGAGGTGGGTGTGTTGTGTACATGTTTACATATTTCTCTGCATACCTATATATCTTAAGAAACACTTAAGACACTGCTGGGTGTTACAGTTATGAGTGGTAGAGATTTATGGTTTTATTGCGTAAAAGGAGTTAGAAAAGGAGTTCAGGAGTATAATACTGTGTGAAGATTTCACCTTTCCTCTGTTTTCATTGGTCCTGAACCAATAYTGTGTTTGACAAAAACTTGATGTAAGAGCAGTAGTTGTCAAAATTGCTTTTCTTACCCTTTTTTGACTGTGATACTATCTTTTAATAGAGAGGAGTTAAGGTTCTAAATGCTTTTCTTCCATATTCATCCATGTCAAATAAAAATGGTTCCATTTGAAGTAATGTTTTATATTTGGTAACATTGGTTTCACAAGTCCTTTATTTTATAGTTAATAAGATTGATGCATTTTAATTTTATTCTTCATGCTGGAACCTGGATGAGTTGTCCAGARCTTAATTTGTGTTCCCAAGATTATAGAAATACTCATTTGTGAATTTTGTTATGCTTCTTGGTGTATAACATTGTGGCTTATAAAATCATTAAACTCCACTGTTCTGGTTAGACAGCTGTATTCCTTAGGACATGGAAGACTGAGGCTGCAGGATATTGCCCTGTCTTTACATTGTTACCTTTGCATTTTTTGATGCTGTATAAATCTTAYAAATCCCCTATATTTAGCCATTTATTTAACTCCATCTTCACTATCTGTTTAGGCTTCCATTGTTTATTTTAGATTTCACTTAATATTTTCCAAAAGTGAATGAACCCAGTGTGGTAAAGTGTGTTATTTAATGTAAGTGAAAATTGCAGACCTGCTTCTTAAATAAGATTATATTGTTTTCCCCAAAACAATACAGTTTTATTTAAAACGTGAACTACAAATTAGGTATTTTTGTTCTTTTTTAGGTCATGTTTACTGGAGACAATATCCCTGTTCATCCTCATGTTTATAGCAATGGTCATATCTGTTTATCCATTCTAACGGAAGACTGGTCTCCAGCTCTCTCAGTGCAATCTGTTTGTCTTAGCATTATTAGTATGCTTTCCAGCTGCAAAGAAAAGGTATGGGCTTTTTTAGCACTGTTGGAGTAGAATAAGTAAAACTTAGTAATTTTCTACTTTACAAAATGAAATTTTTGTTTCTCAAATTTTAAAATAGGCAAAACTACTGTATCTACATTTCTGCTACTGAGAAAATACTAAGCTAGAACTGCAAAATAAACAGTGCAGTGAGTACTTTGTCACTGTTTTCATGGTAACCTGCTTATATATTATTATTGGAAAAGAGTAGTGGATGGAACCCTTCCAGCTGTACTAACTGTGAAGTTCAATTGTGCTTTAGGACAAATCTCTGTAGAATTATTCTGCCTGTAAAGGCAGTCCGGAATGAGTAGTGAAATGTCTTTAGTGCAGATGTTTCCAATACTTTGCATCTGTACTATTTCAGTGAACTTGATAATTTTCATTTCAGGGAAATAAATTGTGCTAAGCTGCTTTTTTGGCACTAGTACCATAGACCTTTTTGTAAAGAGATTGCCCTTTTACTTTTGACCATTTCTTTCGCAGAGGGCTGTCTGTGGAATTGATGTGGTCASAGCTTGTCCATATGTGCTATCTAAACACACCTAATTTTGCATCCCAATCAGTCCTAGTCAAGTCTGTAGTCAGAAAAACACCCCAAAAAGGCTTTATATTGTGTTCTATCCTATGAGTTTTGTATAATGATGACACCTATGAAGAAAACTGAAGAATATGAAGTATTGATCAGATATAGAAATTTAAATTCGTTTTTTCACCCACTCCAAGCTTAGAATGTGAATTGGATGCAATGCATCAGTATTAGATTCCAAACTGCAAAGAAATTTAATTTTGGGGGGTTTTTTGAACAACAGCTGTTTCTTGTGGGTTGGTCTATTTTGTTTATTTGTTGTTTTTTTTTTTCTTTTTTTTTTCTCACTCCCCCGTTTATCATCAAATTGTTTGATATTTTTGACTGATTCTTTTCTTGGAATATGTCCAGTAAGAATTTGTTACCTGTATCTTTAAGAGATTTTTCTTGACAAATGTCTAGTCCCGGCTGTTACCTCATTTTCACTGCATTCACATGGAAACCTTTCTTAAGCTTATTATATAGCTCCTGTATTATAGTATGAGGATTGTTTGATTATTTGTAGGTCTTTTCTTCTGTTGCAGAGGCGACCTCCAGATAATTCATTTTATGTAAGAACATGTAACAAGAATCCAAAGAAAACAAAATGGTGGTATCATGGTAAGTATCTAACTGGGACCAGAAATTTTTAACTTCTTTTCAGGCTGAAGGCAATTAAAATGTAGGAAAGTAGGATAAATGTGTTCAAAGCATTACACTTTTTCTAATCCAAAGTTATTTAAATCCTGTTTCTGAGATACTTTACTATGATTTTGTTTTTCTRTATCATATTTGAATAATTCCTGGTGGAAATTTAAGCATGTTTTAAATTGTAGGATTGAACTTTGAATGAAAGTTCTTGTAAACTGTATTAMTCCTTAACAAGTCTTAAGTTTAGGACTGGGGAAAGTTCATAATGAAACCAGGTTTTGCTCTAAACCCTGTGTTTTTGCTATTGTTATTAACACTTTTAAAGCTTTTTTGGTGTTGAAAAGATACCTATATATTGTTAACAGCTATGTGTTTTGGTAAATTTCCACTCTTAATCAGAATTTCCAATTGACTAACTTTAAAGGCTCCTAAGAACTAATAATACAGTAATAAGATACTCTGTGTACATGATAAAGTAGAGAAAAAAATTAAAATTTTATAATTTCTACAGTGCTAGTGTTGTGTAGGGCTTTTTTCTCTTTTGATTTTTGGTTTGGGGTTTGCTTTGCTTTTTCTTTTGTGTTTTTTTTTCTTTCCATGTGTTCTCTGTCTTGCTTTATACTGTGTGGTTTCTTTCTTCTGCCTCAGCATTTGTCATCCTCTACCCAGAGCTGCAGTTGGCTGTATGTGCTTGTCTTATCCACTCCATTGGTGAGGAAAGAGAGAAGAAGGGGGTAGAGATGGGCTATATTTTGTTTCTCTCCTCTCTTGTTAGCAATGCTTTCCTTGCCTTCCCTAGGAAAATTCTGTACAAACAGTAGTTATTGAAAGTACAAGTATTTTGGGAAGGGATATGTTAGAGCAGGTAATACTGTATGCTACTGTGGTGTAGGAGAGTTGATTCCATCACTGCCTCTTGTTGAAGGTTCCACCATAAGACATCCTCTGTTTTTTATGACCATTCCACTCCAGGATATGTTCTGTCCCTGAGGTGAGATGAGAGCAGGTATTCTGAGGAAGAAAATGTTCATGACTGAAGAGGCAAATGCCAAAACCTTCACCCTTAAAATTCTTAAGRTTCTTAAAAGTCCATGGATGTCTTAACAAGAAAAACTTGATAGTTTCATAATATTGGCTGAGACCCATGGGGTTATGACATATAGTAATGTAACAGAATGAAACTCTGTTTCTCATAATACAGTAATAGTATCTCGAAACAAGGTGGTTTGAGTACAGTAAGAGAAGTGCTGTATGTCACAAGATTAAGATGTATTTGAGATACTTGGGACCATCATATGGTTGTTTTTAAAACTGGCTCCAAGAATAATAATCATATTGCACACTAGGATGGATTTTTCATCTTCATCCGATTATTCAGCTTTCTCTTCTCTTTTTTCATGCTCTTGTTTGGTATGCCTCCATTTCTAGTTTTGGTTTCTCTTAATTGGCAGCTTTGTGAGAGTTTTTGGTAACTTTTTATTTTCACTTGCTAATTATTTTTAAAAAGAAACAAGTAAAGTTCCATTTATTTGCTTTATCTTCTGATTAAAATATGTTCTGTCTATATTTAATTTGTATTAGTCTCATTCTGATGTAGAGTAGAAATCTGTAAAAGGAGAACAGTCTGCAGATACTAGTTYTATTTCGTCATCATGAAATTCAATTTGCATTAAGCAAAACAGCTACTTARTATGAAAAGAAATCTGCATTACTGAATCTGAAGGTTGTATTATTATGGCTCAAAACCATCAAGGTGCTTACAGTTCAATGAATGAGTCTTTTAATTACTATGAAGTAACTATGCAATGGTCTTTTTTCTGGAGGCCAGAAAACCTTACTCCTCCTCAAATTCAGAGTAACCTAAAAACMAACCTGAGGAAAGAGAAAGGAAGTCAGTTGTTTAAATAACTCATGCTGTCTTGCTTCTTGATTTAAAGCTCATTGTGCTCCCCACTGCCTTAAATTCTTACATTGAAAATAAAAACATACCTGATGTCCTCTGGGCAAAAATTTTATAAATGATGGAGTGTTTCCCTTCCAGTTATGTGTGTATCATTTGCTTCTTCTCTCAGTTAATTTTGTTTCTCCTCTGTGGACATAGAACAAGAGTGCCAAGGCATGATTTTTAAATTGTCAGTGTTTTCTAAACAAGTTCAAAGAAATGGTATGTTACAGTAAAATGGGAAGTGTGAAAAGGTGCTTGTGTCTTGTTTATTTTCTGCTCATGCTTCAACTGAAGTGTTATATATCTAGCACATTTGGCTAGGTAAATGGGGGAAGAAAAAACAATCCCACCCAGGAGMCAAAGCAGGCTGTCCAAGGTAACTGCGGGGTGAAAATCAATGCCAGTGCTAATATGACAACCTGTGGAGGGGGATGCAGAGTGGTTCTGTCACTTCTGCCATCAGCTACCCACTGGACTGGTTTAGCTTTAATGTGGCATCAGAACTCTCTGTTTTGAAGAGATAGGAAGAAGCCTGTCATTTGTATTACTACATGCATTTGAAGGAAAATACTTTTTTTTCAATATGTGCCTGGAATTTATTTACCTGGGAGCAAAATAGTGCATGGTTGGGAGCTGATGTAAAGCAAGCCCATATAAACACAGAGTGATAAAGGGACACTTTGAGACATATTCTGGAATGTAAATTATGTGTCTGCATTTAACTTAGTACAGAGTTTTTAATCTCATTTCATCCCTGTCCCAACACAGCAACTTAGTCACAAGCAGTTAAGGAGTCTTGTTTGCTATGAAATGATGTCCTGAYAAGCCCTGTTGTAAAGCTCCTGATCCTTGATAACTGAAAATATTTCTAGATAACCTACCCTACCCAATGTCTGTTACAACTGTGCATTGACTTTTCTTGTGGAATTTCAATCTGAGAGTTGCTCATGTTCTGTTAAAGACAAGGGAGGATCATCCAGATACAGTTTACTTGGGAATCCAGACTGAAATTGGTTTCATAAAGCTGTTGCTTGACTTTTTTGTTCTCAGGAGGTAGATTTTTTTTTTTTTTGTGGGAGTGGGAAAAGTAATGGAAGTTTGCTTTCAATCAGCACCTCCTTGCTACTTTTGGATTTGGTTTTGATTTGGGTTTTCTCTTAAGTAGAATATGTTTTCTCTGGTATTTGGCTTAAAATTTTAGAACACCATTTAAATCTTTCTGTCTCTCTTTTTTTGCATGTACTGTAGCCTACTATAAAAATGAGTTTCTTTACAAGTAATAGGTTTAATATGATGTTTTCCCATTAAAATGTAGAATGTTTATGAGACTGCATTTTTTAGATGTGGGAGGTTATAAGTAAGTGCTTTAAAAATAAGCAGAGAGTTTGCTTTCTGTTAACAGCTCAATATTTGCTGCTAGCAGGTACAAATATACTGCAGCTTGATAAGTGAAGGAGAATGTTTAAAAGGGAGAGCATTAATATGGAGCACAATGCAGAAAAGATAGGCATAGAACATGCATTTTTGTAATATGTCTGGTCCAATCACAATGTCTGAAATTTATCGTATGTAATTTACTTTCAGCTTCAAGATTYTAGGTTTATAGTAGTAACCTATTCTTTGCATAATTGTGTAAGCTATGGTTTTGTGTTGAATCTTATAAATATGTGAATATACATGTATGTATATATATACATATATATACACACATATACACTTGTAAGCATATAAAGGGTTGAGAATGCATCAGAAGCAGCCCATTGTGCCAGGTTTTTTCCCTATAYATTCGTTATAAAAGGATGTCTTAATTCGAGAACTGTTGTGGACCTGCTATACTTCAAGGGTGTAAAATGTTAAGCGTATTTGATTTTTCATTTTCCTGGCAAGTGTCTTTCTAAATATCAAGTATGGAAATGACTGCTCTTTCAATTGAATATTTGCTGATACTAATATTTTTGGGGGAGTATGTGTGTTTTGGAAGTTTAGTTTTTGATCCTCTCTATTTTCCCCGAGTCATGATTGAACAAAACAACAGAATTACTCAATCAGGGTATTTCCTCTGCATGTTACTGTCWATGCTAGGAATTGTTTCTGCATATAGCACCTTGCTAATTTGGAATTAGAATGYTTATATGTTTTCCATAAATGCTCTTTTTTTATTTTAAAGATGACACATGTTGATGCCACCATTTTGTGATCCTCGTAGCAGAAGATAGTCCTACTGAGAAAATGAGCACTTTGATCATTCAGTCTTTGAACTTTAACCTTTGACTGGAAGTGACCTATAGGCAATGAAGACTACTTCCTTTGACTGCATTTTTACTAGTGTGCATTCTGGGCGCATGTTGATCGCTGGTTCAGTCCATGCAACTGACATGCTTTTATTAGTCATACAGTATTAATGCAGGTGTCCAGAAATGTCAGAATAATTCCATTTTTTTTTTAAGCTTTTGGAAGAATTCCAGGTCTTCATATATTGTGCAATAACACTGAGCTCCTTGGCGGTTTTGGTGCATCCATTGCCGGCAATGGACATTGTACCAGGGAACGGTTTTGCTCCTGCCACAAAAAAAGATTGACTCATGACAGAGCTTATGAAAGTTTTGGATATATTTGGATTATAAGCAAGGGATTGACAATTACCTTAAATACAGCCCATTCTTTTATATTTGGATTCTATGCACTGTGACCACAAAACTAGCAGCATGAGTTAACATGCCTAGCTGAAGGACTGTAATAAGATCATTACGTATTTATTAAATTGTTTATCTGCTGTCAAATTGTTTTGACATGGGCGGTTTTTCAAGTGACATTGGCAGAGAGGTACAATGTTATCCCTATGGTGAAATAAAACTACTTTTTGTATATAGTTATTCATATCTCTGAAGCAAAGGTATGAGTAATTTAGGGTATGAGTGATTTAAACAAGAATTTTATTTTGGAGATAGAGGATGGCAGTGATATAACTGAACTTGCTGCGGTCCGTAATTGGGCTTGTAATTTGTACTTTAGAGCTTTTTCCAAATAGATTGCACACTGTTATTTCCTGCTAGCCATCAGCATGAGCCCTACTGCCTACACCAATATTTCATTTATTTATGTGTTCAAAAGCAATCCATATAACATTCTTTTGTTTGCATTCACTGTTTCTTTTGTGTTGTATGTCATGTTCGAATGTTACAAAACAATATTTTGATTGAAAAGCTTTGTCAGAAGATATTTTCATGTAAATTATTTCTTTATCTTGTAAGCATCATCTTGTCTTTTGATCCTGTATTATAAAAAGAAAAAAAAATACATTTTTGACAGAGGCTTAAAGTTTTCACAAAAAAAGTGTGGACCTTCTTATTTAAGTTTAGACTAAAGTATATTTTCTTAACTTGCTTGTCCCACGTAGCCATGCCAATTTTTCCAGGCTTTTCTTCACAAACAAAAGGGGAAAAAGCCTAAAATCAGACATTTTTCTGTGGAGCAACATTTATTGAAATTATAGTTGTTCTCAGCACTCTGTAATATTTTGATACTGCAATTAGGTTGTCTTTTTAGGAAGCACTTTTATAAACTTAATACCTTTACACATATGCAAAATTTCTATATTTTTTTTTACTGTTGCCTTATAGTTGCACTCAAAATTTCAAGCAATTAATGCATGAATGTCTAAATCAAGTAATAACTTGATGTAAAAACAAACAAACAAAAGCAAAAAAAAATCCCTAAACCAAATCCAGAATGAATAACTACAATAACAAACTGAAAATTGGCTGAAAAGACTGATTTTTTTTTTTAATCTGCTGTATGATAACTGACGTTTTATAGCCTTGTACATACTTCTCTGTTACCTATTGTTAAAACATTTTAAAAAAAAGTATAGATGCTTAACTCAGGGTGGATCGAGTTCAGATGGATTTGCTTCAGAGAAGTATTTTGTACAGCATCAGAACTATAGATACTGGCAATGAAGCGAGGCTACAATATACTTCAGGAACTGCTTTTTTTTTCTACTGTACTGAAAATATTTCTTGGCCTTTAAAACTCAATGGCAAAATCTAGCTTTGGATATGAATTTGATGTGTGTGTATATATTTTCACAGTGAGCCTTTGAACCATAGAAATAATTTTCTTTTAAGAGCCAAAAAAAAAGGTTGTTTTAAACAAAAGAAAYACTTACGCTCTAAACTTTTTGTTTAGCAAAATTTTGTTGTGAGTTCATCAAACTGGTTATTTTTTGGAATGGTTCTTATGAAAGAGCCGTAATCTGATACTTAATCTGTATAGTCTTGTTACCTGCTCTGTATTAATTGAAAAGTTGAGAAATTCATGTATGAATGGTTCACATRATGGATCCTCTGAAAACTGTCCACAGGAAAGAGACCTTAATGTGACCAGGTAATGTCTGAAGAAATGGCTTAAGTACATCTCAGATTCAGTTACCTTTTCATATAGTGGCTTGTGAAACTACAATACATGGTTTCAGAGAAGCTTTATCACATASCATATGTATTTTGTTGAAGTTGGGTGTTGTAGTGCAAAGCATTATGCATTTTATTGACCTGTGCTATTACATGGACTATAGTGAAGTTAAATAACCAAATTTATGCTGCTGTTTAATAAATAAACTCCCACCCCCTATAATATATTTAGATCAAGGAAATGCAAGGTAGATTAGAAGAGAATGTACCTCAGGTCTTTTAGTTTACAGTAGAAATGCCTCATTGGTTCTCTTGTAGATCTGTGGGTAAGTTCACCTATACAGAGAGGGCCAAGACAAAGCTTATATACCACTCAAGCCCTCAAAATAATGCAACTATTCTGACAATGGTATGATGTCCTGAAATAGGGCTTGGATTAGATGAAGGTGGTGCCATCCTTTTCCTAGGGTGACCCTGTGTATGTAACTATCTTTCACTTGGAATTTCTCACGTSGTATGGTTACAGAATTGGCTTGAAACTATCTTGCTTTTATTTTGTGTCAATATTCATGTTGTTAAACACTTTGTTTTGTGTTTAGTGTCTTTATACTATAACACAATAAATTCTTGTTTTAAAATAGATTACTACCATTGAATGGAAATACGTGTGGACCTTTTCATGGTGGAGTGCAGAAGCATAGTTCCTTACATTCAGCCACTCTTGRGACAAAGCTG